TTTCCCACCGGCTTTCCATAGAAAATTAAAGGTTTACTACATTTTGCTTTGGGTTTTATTTTGATTCTTAGCAAGCTATAGGTAATGCGTGCCATTTTTTTTTTAGCTCCTGATATTTTAATCGTTCTTTTTTTTTTATTTTTTTATTTAATTTGGGCCTCCAAGGGTGTGTATTTTATAAAATATTTTACAAATTTTTTACTGTGGTTTCAATAAAAACCCCCCCCCTGATATCCCAAAGGGGACTAAAATTTGTGGAAATTTTCTTTAAACCACCATTTACCACTTTTTTTTGCTTATAGGCCGGGGGCTTTCATAAAGGTCAACCCCTACTAAATAATTTATTTGTACCAAAATTGCAAATTATTGCCTATGTCCATTCTCTATCAACTTCCATTCAATTCTTTAGACTGCATTGTTTTTCAAACAAATTTCACATTTGATCCCCTGCTCCATAGTTACATTTGTGCAAAATCTATTCCAAATTTTAAAAAGTAAATGCTCTGCACTAATCAATGTCCCAGATTTGAGAATTTCGCATTATTGTCGGTGACATATATGTCTGTTGTTGTTAAACCACCCTTCATCTTGGTTTAGATCCTGTAACTTTTCACTTCTTTTGAATAGTTTGGACTTTATGAAGATAGGTGTAGGGTTACCTTCAGAGGTATCAAAGCCATAGAAAAATGTTTATACCCTCAGGCTTGGGTGTCTTACTCAAAGATTTCCTTCAGATATCTTTGAGCTTCCTCCTATGCTCTGTGAATGAATGCTACTGTTTAGGTCTTTGCAAGAATTTATTATTATTTTAAAATTTCCTTTTGAATTTAGTATCCCATGTGAGGATAAACAATCCGTTTTTCCATAATGCTCCCATGAATGTGTACCACACCGACCATATGAGTTGAAACATTACCTATTGCCATTGTCATTCCAAGGTCGTAGACCCAATATTTTGAATATGTGATGTTCCATAGCAGTGCTTTGGCGACTACCTTTGTTGGTTGCTTTCACAGTCAACTGCGTATGGCTTGATTTTTCCACAAAACTTTCCATCTTGAAGAGTTCCCAGTCTGGTCGTTCAAGAGGTACATCCTTTAAGTGTTCGTTGCATTGTATTCCATGACAGAATCATGTTCAAGAATCCTTCTTCTAGGTCAGTTCCTAGAAGTGCTGGATTAGCGTATAGATTAAGTTTATATCATCCTGTTCCATTACATTGCCGAACATCATCCGGTTAGGAAAACCAATGCCCCCTTTTTGTTCTAGAACAGTGTTACCATATGGGCACAACACCATCGATATTTTTTAAAGTTAATTTCCTAGTTTTTGGATAAAAATTTACAGCTGCTGTCCCCTCAGCTTTAGGGCCATCCTGTATTTATTGGATCCAGGTTTTTTTGAGAAATATCCCACCGGTCTTTTCCAGTTCCCAAAATTTTGAGTTAACTCCCATTGCCAACCCTCGTCTTTCGTGGACAAACAATTAAAAACCCTTTTTTTAAATTGGGGCTCCCGGCCAATTTATTTTCCTTCCCTTCAAAATTTTTGAAGGCCACTTTCTGGGGTTTTTGTCCCAAAAAAAAGGCATGTGATTTTTGGGTTCATACGGGGGTTATTTTCATAGTCCATTATCCATAATCTGCACCCCCCTTAAAAAAATTTTTTAGTTCATGCAATTTTTGTGGTTCTGGGATGGCACACTTTGGCTTTTATGGGGTTTTATTCCCATTTTTGTGGCCCTTGTAAAAATCTCACATCCCAGATACAGCACAGTAAATTGCATGTAATTTGTGCCTTTTGAGACTTTAAAACCATTTCCAAATTTTTTAAAATTTATTTCCCCTTTTATGACACCTTTGTTCTATTGCAAAAAAAAATGTCATCTACATATTGTAAAAAAAGGTTTATCGGTGATTTTCCTTTGGGTGGTCCATGTTTCCCAAATTTCCCTTTGGGCCCAAATTTGGGTTTCCCAAAATGGGGTTGGGGACTGTTGAATCCTTGGGGAAAAGTCTGGTCCAGGGCAATTGTTTTTTCCTTTTCCATTCTGCGCCCTTCAAATGCAAACAGTTTCCTGTTTTTTTTACCCCAAGGGAGGAATGCAGAAAAAACACCCCTTTAAAATCAGTTACTGTAAACCTTTTTAAATTTTTCCTTCACAGATGTTAGAAATGTGAAAGGGGTTTTGCCACCCCCGGGGTGGATGTCTTTTTTATTTCATTTTTTTGCCCTCAATTTGGGGTACTTCCCTATTTTTACAGTTTGGTTTCTTTTCAAAAATTGGGTGTTAATTCTGATTCACATTCTTTAAAATTTGGTTTTTTAAAAAATTTTCTAGTTTTTTTTATAATTCCATATCTTTCTTAAAGGGCAGTTTTTTAAACCCTTTTGGGGGTTTAGCTCCTTTTTTTAAAATTTCCCCCCAAAAATCCCCCAGCCCCCTTTTTTAGGATTTGGGTTTCCCAGACCTGGGTTTTCAGCCCTCCACTTCTTTTGGAATTTGTGGAATAGGTTTGTTTTTAGAACTAGAATCTGTCCTGGTTTGGTTTTTAATTTTTGTTTACCCAATTTTGTTTTTTCAAAAGCAATTGAAACACCCAAATTTTATTAAAAGTCCCCCCCCCAAAAATGGGAAATTTGGGACATTCAGGCACATAAAAAAAATTCATGTGTCAATTCTTTTCCTTTTAACGGAAGAATAGGAAAGAAAACAATGACAATTGTGGGAGCCACAGGGAAAGAACCCCTGCAACCCCTAGACTTACGATTTAGAGGAAAAGAATTGACACATGAATTTTTATATGTGCCTGAATGTCCCATTCCTCTATTGGGACGGGACTTATTAAGTAAATTGGATGCTACAATTGCTTTTGAAAACGGCGAATTGATAATGCAAATCCCTGAATCCAAACCAGGACAGATTCTAGTTCTCAAAGACAAACCTATTCCACAAATTCCAAAAGAAGTGCAACAGGCTGTAATACCGACAGTCTGGGAAACCAAAATCCCGGGAAAATCAAAAGCAGCTCAGCCGATAGTGTAGAATTAAAAGACGGAGCTAAACCAGTAAGGATTAAACAATTGCTTGAAGCAAGATATGGAATTATAAAAACAATTGAGAAATTTTTAAAATACCAAATTTTAGAAGAATGTGAATCAGAATATAACACGCCAATTTTCCCGGTAAAGAAACCAAACTGTGAGTATAGATAAGTACAAGACTTGAGGGCAATAAATGAAATAACAAAAGACATCCACCCGGTGGTGGCAAACCCTTATACATTGCTAACATCTGTGAAGGAGAAATATAAATGGTTTACAGTAATTGATTTAAAGGATGTCTTCTTCTGCATTCCTCTTGATAAAAATAGCAGGAAACTGTTTGCATTTGAATGGGAAAATCCACAGAATGGACGGAAAACACAACTGACATGGACCAGACTTCCACAAGGATTCAAGAACAGTCCGACCCTATTTGGAAACCAATTGGCCAAGGAATTGGAAGCATGGACCACCCAAGGAGAAATACAGGTACCAAGATCACAATACCTTTTGTTACAATATGTAGATGACATTTTTATTGCAACAGAACAAAGGTCCCTGTGCATAAAGGTGACAATTGAAATTCTGAATCAGCTAGGCTTGAATGGTTATAAAGTCTCAAAAGGCACAAATTACATGCATGACTGTGCTGTATCTGGGATGTGAGATTTCACAAGGGCAGCGAAAACTGGGAATAAATCGCATAGAGGCAATCTGTGCCATCCCAGAACCACGAAACTTGCATGAACTAAGAATATTTTTGGGCATGACAGGGTGGTGCAGGTTATGGATAATGGACTATGGACTTATTGCCAAACCCCTGTACGAAGCCCAAAAATCACATGCCTTTGTTTGGGACAAACCACAGAAAGTGGCCTTCAAAAATCTGAAGGAGGCGTTAACAAAATCACCAGCACTGGGACTCCCAGATTTGACAAAAGGTTTTCAATTGTGTGTCCACGGAAGACAGACGTTGGCAATGGGAGTATTAACTCAGAAACTCGGAAGCTGGAAAAGACCGGTGGGATATTTCTCAAAACAACTGGATCCGGTGAGTACAGGATGGCCCTCATGCTTGAGGGCAGTAGCAGCAGCTGTCATTTTGATCCAAGAAGCTAGGAAATTAACTTTGGGAAAACATATCGATGTGTTTGTGCCACATATGGTAACCACTGTTCTAGAACAAAAAGGGGGGCATTGGTTGTCCCCTAGCCGGATGATGAAATATCAGGCAATCCTAATGGAACAGGATGATATAAACTTGAGAACTACTAATCTGCTAAACCCAGCAGCTTTTCTAGGAACTGACCTAGAAGAAGGAACTCTTGAACATGACTGCATAGAAGTCATCAAACATACATATGCAACCAGAACGGACTTAAAGGATGTACCTCTTGAACGACCAGACTGGGAACTCTTCACAGATGGAAGCAGTTTTGTGGAGAACGGGACACGATACGCAGGGTATGCTGTGACAACGCAACAAGAGGTAGTCGAAGCCAAAGCACTGCCTCCTGGAACATCGGCCCAATGGGCAGAATTAATAGCTCTCACGAGAGCGTTGGAACTGAGCAATGGCAAAAAGGTAAATGTATGGACAGACTCAAAATATGCATTTGGTGTGGTACACATTCATGGAGCATTATGGAAAGAACGGGGACTTTTATCCTCACAAGGGACTAACATAAAGTATCAAAAGGAAATTTTAGAATTAATAATTGCTGTGCAAAGACCTAAACAGGTAGCCATCATGCATTGCAAGGCGCATCAAGGAGGAACTTCAAAGATATCTGAAGGAAATACATCGGCAGATCGGACGGCCCGACAAATAGCCTGGAGGGTATGGAACATGATGGCTTTGATACCTCTGAAGGTAAGCCCGCTCCACACCTATCTTCCATAAAGTCCAAACTATTCAAAAGAAGATGAAAAGTTAGCAGGACTCTTAAAAGCCCAAAAGAACTCTGAAGGGTGGTATGTAACAACAACAGGACAAGTAATAGTGCCACCGACAATAATGCGGAAAATTCTACAAACTGAACATCAGAAATGTCATTGGGGTGCAGAAGCATTGGTAACTTATTTAAAACGAGGAATAATTTCCACACAGATGTTAACTATGGCAAAAGCAGTGGGATCGAAATGTGAAATTTGTTTGAAAAACAATCCAGTCGTAAAAAGACAAGTTGAAATGGGAAGAATTAGAGTAGGAATGGAACCAGGAGATTATTGGCAGTTTGATTTTGCGGAACTACCGAAGGTACAAGGATACAAATAT